AATCAATTTAGGATTGAATAAGGACTGGGAATGGCTGAGCCATTACAAACATTGAATCTCTCCCCCCTTGTAAGTATTCTCACACTTCTTATCAAACTGTCTGTACAGGACTATTTTGATTATCACTTAAAAAAAATCCCCCCCCCTTACTTAATTGGCCTTTCAGAGTTGGTAAGACAACTCCCACCTGTTCATGCTCTCTGTATGTGTGTATATATATCTCCTCAATATATGTTCCATTTTATATGCATCCGAAGAAGTGGGCTGTAGCCCATGAAAGCTTATGCTCTAATAAATTTGTTAGTCTCCAAGATGCCACAAGTACTCCTGTTCTTTTTGCGGATACAGACTAACAAGGCTGCTACTCTGAAACCTATCATATTGAGTAGTACTTCATTCTGCAATTTGATTTCAGCATGACTACTCTGAATAAAGGCGACAGTCAATCTGTGATACTGTAAGCTGCAAGGAATTTTGTCTACAAGGAGTCATGCGTACTTATGGCAGTTTATAAATAATCACATTAAAAATACTATCCTAAAAGAATCTTACTATTGCAAAAGTGTAAAAAATAATAAGCTATCATAACTGATCATCATAATGCATGGCAAATTACAGTTGACAAGCAGAATTAATTCTGTCACTTCCTAATTTTTGCTGGACTTTGCAACCATATTAAAATGTTTTTTGTTTGTTTGTTTTAAGCAAACAAACAAAAAAATGCCATTAAGTTGGTACTGACCCCCTCCCCAACATGGATCATCACCAGGACTGAAGCCTCTAGATCCATAGAACAGACTTCTACCATTTGAGGTGATAGAGTAACTGGCAGCAGTAGTAGGCAATTATCCTCTGTTTCATCCCCCTCTAAGGGGCTAGTCCAAATACTTTGCCAGTGGTCTTCCATCCTTTGCTGAAAAAACAGAAATGCTGAGACTTGAGTGTCCTGGGTTCAATTTCGAGTTCTAGAGGGGAGTGCCCTCTAGTGGTACTAAACACTTCTCATCCTGTCCCTCTCAGTTCCTTTATGTCCTGTGCCTCCCTGCTCCTATTATTCCCCTCCTTACCTCCGACTCCTGCCTGGCCCTCTCTCAAATGCAGAGGGATGATAGGAAGGGAGGTTTTAGGTCGATTGCTACCTAGTCACCGGCAAGGGGAGCACGGAGTCTCCCTGTTCTCAGTTCTAGTACCTGGCACCACAGAGCACCAGCAGACAGGAAGAGCAATTAGAGGGCAAGTCCAGCTCAGCCCTTGCAGTAGCCTTGGGATGGAGCATGCTCAGTCATTCTGAGAGGATGGTGCACGCTCAATGCAGTTAGTATGTTTGGGGATGTGGAGCATGCCCAGTTATTCAATCTCTTGGGAGAATTTAGTTGCCAGCTTCTAACCAATTTCTGAGCATGTATGAACTGCAACTTTCAGAGGCTTATAAATTGGCCAAACTTGGGTAGATTTTTACATGAATGGCAGAGGGCACATCCCTAACATGGGGGTGACCTCCCTGCCAAATTTCAAGTCCCCTGCTCCAAAGCATGGAGGTGCTAGAGCTTTTCAATGAAACTGTGCTAAGGAGCTCATGTGCAAAACAATATTTTTCCTTTAACTTTTCCCAGAACAGGCAGACATCCACCATGGACAATTTCTGCCTGAATAACTTACGCTTGGCAAAGTTGTAAGCAACTGAAACCAGGGACTTACAATGGAAAGTGTGTGTTACCTACAGATAGCACAACCAGCTCAGCCTAAAGTGTCCCATTAGGTTTCATTTACACTTTTTCCAGCGAAGAGATACAAATACTGCCTAGGTAGGAGGGCTCACTTCCATTCAATTCTTACTTCATACATGTCCAGCCGGAAAGGGAATCTTTATGAGAACTGAACTGACAATCACATTGCCCTGGGTAAAGATCAGAGCAGGTGCTGTTCTGATTTTGTACTGAGCATCATAAGAAGGTAGAAATTCTTGAAAGTTAGTTACCTTTCAATCCCACCGTCCCTCCCAATCCCAACGTGAAAAGTTGACTGGATCTACTGGCAAGCCATTTTCTTTCTATCCAAGTAAGAATAGTTCCATCCATTAATTGAACTAGAATGTGTGGACAAGGGAATGCGCTAACAAAGTCAGGATCAGCAAGTACAAGCCAGAGACAAGACAAGAACAAAAATCCCAAAAACCAAAAAAGGACACATGGGACAAAATCATATTCCATTTCTACCCTATAGAACCCCAGTGAAGTTAGAGCAGAATTTAGCCAGGAATATTTACAGCTACTGTGCTTGACTCCATGGATTACCGTTTTGTCTGAAAATAGTGTACTCTGAATCCAGAGATCAAAGATTGGGGAATAAAGTCACGTTCCTGATCTATCATGCAACAGGCTGATAGTGTCTCTTTAACAATATTTAAAATGAGATTCCTGTTGTGAAGATAGACATGACTAAAAAAGCAGAAGTTTTCATGTTTATCAAATCAATGGCTTTCAGACAGAATATCCTGTTTACAAGAAAATTGTTTTTACTGTCAGGTCTGCAAATGCAATCTGGAATCTAGAGCTGGCTGGAACATTTTTGACGGACTGTGATCTTGTGGAGACGTACCCACCTCAATGGAGTTTTCGTCCAGGGGAGAATAAAAAACCTGACCATTTTGACAATTCATTTTTTGCGAAAACATTTGAAAGATTCTGGTTTTGTTCCAATGAGGAATGAAAAACATCAAAGACTCAACAGTTGTTGAGAGATGGAATTGCCATCCTCCGATCAGCTCTCCTGGACTCTAGATAAAAGCTGTCTTTGTGATGACCTCTGAACCACCTGAAGTACAGGATTTTGAAGCAAGAACATGCTAATTATTTGTTTGGGGATGCACAAGTTAGAACAGACTCCTGTTTGCTCATGTAGTTATTTGGGCTCAGTGGGCATAGTGGTAATAAAACACAGGACCTTAACACATGCAAGGAGCAGGCCTCTTCAACTAAGGTGCACAAATTTTTGCAATGTCACTTTCAGGGCCGGCTCCAGCTTTTTTGCTGCCCCAAGCGGCGAAAGGACGGGGGGGCGGGGGCAAAAAAAAAGATAAAGCCGCGATCGGCAGCACTTCATTCTTTGGCGGCAATTCGGCAACTGGTCTTCCCTCCCAAAGGGACCGAGGGTCCCGCCGCCGAATTACCGCCGAAGACCTGGACGTGCTGCCCCTTTCAATTAGCCACCCCAAGCACCTGCTTCCTGCGCTGGTGCCTGGAGCCGGCCCTGGTAACTTTAAAAAATATACAACGCCCCTAAAAAAATAAAATACCCAACTGTAGGTGCTATCATACTTCCAGTCCCCACAGGCAATCAGGCTATACCCAGAAGTATAAAGGACTGTTTTTTATACTTTGAAACAGACAGACTCCTGGTTGACTGGAGCTACCATGTTATCTGACAGGAAAATTGTTAAGCTTCATGCACTCATTTTAGGTTCTTTGTATTTGGGTCCTGGCAGATGCACGCTAGTTATGGAACTCTCAGAAAATATCAGCCTTCTCCAACCTACTACACACTCAGGCAACTAAGTGAACCATTAATAGCATGTCAGCTCACTGAACCATAGCAGAGTAAGAAGCATGCCTGGGGCAGTGTGCAGCATTTTATTTTAAAACAATATTATTTGTAAAACACTGGGGGAGGGAGGCAGAGGACCCTTATTTGAATGCAGATTAAGTACAAGCAATTAAGTAGCAGCACTGACATTTGTCTTCCACAAGCAGCACTCTCTCTACTGGTGCAATTTACCCCTCTTCTGCTTAAAGGGGGATTAAAGGAACTGAGGTGAGGGGCTCTTTTTCCTGGCTAGCTATGAGTTGAATACACGTAGGAGGGTGTCCCAGTAGCCATACAGCACATACCACTGAGATTGGACTTCCTTAAGAAGCCTGTTTAACTTAAATGCTGCTCCCTGGGACACATCCCACTCCAGCGACACATGGCGTCCATTGATACCACTGAATAGACGTGTTTAGATGATTTAGTAAGGGTAGAGCGTGCCACTTTTGCTGGAGCTGGGCAGGAAGCAGCAACAGTTCTTTTTTCAGGGCAAACAAAGTTCCACCCCAATTCTGTGGCCACTATTGACAGGATTAGGTCCACTTGCAGGAAAAGAGCATTGCTATTGAAACTATCCTCCATTTACCAGGAATTTCTCTTGATGGAGAAGCATGGTAGGATCCTACTTATCTGCTATCGCCTTTTGCTCTGTTAGTGTCACAAAGAAGGAATTCCGTACTAAGCATTGGTGACTATATAAGATGAAGATGAAGAACTGAAGCTTGTTACTGCAGCAAGTCAGTCTGGACTTAAGTTACACACTATCCGAGATGCATAAAGCTTTATGTCATGAAGAGTGAAATCAGCACAGCTGCGCCCGGGGTAAAGCAATCTGTACTCATCCGTCTGGGAGAGAGAGGGTAGAATCTATAATTCACTGCATTCACTGCCACCGATGAGTGCTTGTCTGCCTGTGACTCGCAGCAATGAAATGAACCGTCAGTTCCAAATGAGTGTTGCATGCCTTTCCAAGAATCTGTACCTTGTACCAAGAGGCAAATACTGTATGTTCATAAATATACTTAAGACAACACCAAAATTGCATTAAGATTTGGTAAGGAGAAGTTTCTCACTTAGGTCAATCCTCCTGCACTCCTGTTAAAACTTCCATTATACAATACACAAAGTCAAAAAAACCTTCAAGACCTATAATATTAAGCTTAGTATAGAAATACAGTCCATGTAATAATACAAAAACAAGTTCTATCCCCCTTTAATAAAATGGATTTTTGAGATGTGTTCTGTTAAAAACTGTTCCTTAATTTTTTCTGACCCACAGATAATCCAGTCACTTTAAAATGTGAAACTTAAGAGTGGATGAAATTGTTGTTTGACATATTTTTGGCCACAAGAGACCACACAGAAGTACATTATATTGAGCTGACTCCAAATAATTTTCACATGAATTACTAAAGTGCCAGAAATGTATAATTTATTAACATTTAAATAAATCACATGGAGTAGAAGCGCTTTAAGGTTATCAGTGTGAGATGCACAGAATACCAAATTATAATTACCAAAAAAGGTTATCAAGTACAATAGACCCAATTGTGTCATAATTTTACATGAACAAGGCAAGACAAATATTGAAAAGAAAAGAGGGGATCTGTCTTTTAAACACACTGAATGATCATAAATACAGTACCTGGTTTTAAAAAAATGCACTAGTTAAAAAACTAGCTACCTAACTTATACACTTAATACAGGCAACTCCATGGTTTTAATCACCATACGCACAATTTAAACAATCTGAAAAGATCCTATTCCCATTCCACCACTGATTTAGCTGCTTCTGCAGGGTTGCTACCCCATGGGAAGAGTTCATTTGGTGGTGGTTGGGGGAATATCTGTGAAAACCCCTGTCTTGCAAGTCTGGCTCATCCTGATGTCCTGAGGAAGAAAGTTCAATGGATATGGCCTTTGGCGATAGAGGTGTGCCCCCAAAGTTGCACTGCTGGCTGTTAGCTTGAGCATTGCTACTGACTGAAGCTGTTGAGGCAAGTCTCTGGAAGAGAGGCAGACCAACTGTCATGCCTGCAGTCCAAGGTCTAGATGAAATGTCATAAGGTTGAAGTGGATCCAATATGACAGGGAAACAGCGTAGAACAGGAAGAATTAGTTTGATGTGCTCATCTGTATTGCTTTAAACTACAGGCTGCCACGACACCCAAGCGAAGCTTCCGTGACCCTCACCTCTTTCTAGAAAGTGTGCATGCCCAGCCTGAAGTTGACTGAAGAAAGCACAGATCATCCTGGTGGGATCCACATCTAGCAAAGGGTGCTGCCTCACAACCTGTATCAGGTAAGAGCAGGGACTGAAGGTTACAATGAGACTTGTCTGTTACAGTCAGTCCTAAACAGATGCTAAAAAAAACAAAAACACACAAAAATACCACTGCTACTTTTCAATAGCACTGCAAGCTTTACACAGTTCAGTATCTCTTGAGGTGTCAGTGCTAAACACAAATGTTTCATGTTACAGGTGTTCTAGGAATCCTGGCTGTTCAAAACTATAAAAGAAAATACTGTTTTGCCTTGAACTAATCGGTTTGCTTCAATTCTAGACTTTACAGGAACTAATTAGTACTAATTTTTCTATCCTGTAGTGAGTGTAACACTTTAGTTACTGTATTATACTGAAGAAAACAATCAGAGTTTACAGGGGAGCAATAGAAGAACAAAACAAAATTAAAACATAGCTACTCCATAGTGTCTATATCACACCATATTTTTATGTGTTGCATTTTTATTGGCATTTTGAAATGATCTGCAGAACATACAAATGGCACAGCCATGAGTAATTGTTCTCTCAAACTCTTTCCAATTAGCTGCATATCACACATCCCTCCATCTGGTATGTAATGCCAAAGCCTTTTATGGTCATGACATTATTGAATGAAAGTGAAAAATCCAAACGTTTAACATAGGATTGAAAGTATAATAAAAATGAATGTACCACTGTTGGAAGAATGGAGGGTCATAATTTCTTGTACATTGACAAGATCCTACTTTATGCATGCAATCGCAAACTAAAAATACTACATCAGCTCTTTCTATCAATACAATTTTACAAAACATATGAAAACTGCAAGAACATAGCTAAATAAGTTTATAAACTTTCATTTTAAGCTAAGGTTAAAAGAAAAGGCATCAAACTCACAAAAATATTGGAAAAAAACATACTGAGGCACCATATAAAAACTGAAAGATCATCATAATCCAGTTTGCTATTGTGAAGGCACATTTAAGATTAAATTGAAAATAAAATAAGCAGCCAAATTACTGCAAAATGCTTCATATTTCCTGGATAAACATTGCTAGGGTCACAAAAGATATTGCTTTAAAATATGTTTATCTACAGATTAGCATAATCCTGTTCTATATGGTTTCCAATAAACTTTTCTGTGCTGCTCTTCCCAAGGGATACAATACTCATACAACTTGCAGATGGCGACAGATGAAGCTAGGACACTGACACTTGACAGACACAAATAAAATGGCCTGCTGACAGCGTTACTATACTTACCTCTACATAAGCCTGCAATAAGCCAAATGGAGGGAAAAGTCAAATGCAGCTATGCTCATTTTCTAAGACATGCTCATGCAGTGTTGTGTGACGGGTCAATACATTAATCTAACACAGGGATTCCCAAACTTGGTTCGCGACTTGTTCAGGGTAAGCCCCTGGTGGGCTGCGAGACGCTTTGTTTACCTGAGCATCCACAGGTACGGCCACTCGCAGCTCCCAGTGGCCGCAGTTTACATTTTACATGGTCTGACTTAATACCATTATGACGCTGTCAGACAAGTTGCCAGCTCATGCCCAGGCCCCTAGGCCTCAACAGGGCACTGACCAATACATAACTGGAAACCAGTGTGTTAGTATTGTTTAAATAGATGTTAAGTTTATACAAATGTGTTTAGTGTTAAGGTTTTATGAAATGCTTATAGGATGCTGCATGTAGTAATCTCACTTACAACTCAGTACCTTATGTCATAAGGTAATACTGAGTGTTTGCATTGCCTGGTCCATACTGCAAAGTTAGGTCAATGTAAGGTAGTTTATGTTGACCTAATGATGTCGGTCTACACTACAGCCTTGCTCCTGTTGATGTAAGGGCCCTACTACACCGACATGTCTGCACCTCCATGAGAGGTGTAGCACGTATGTCGGTGTAATTAGGGTGATGCAGTGTCCATGTAGACACTGCGTTACTTACATCAACTGTTGGCTGAAATTCTTACCAATTTTATAGCTCCCCTCTCTGGCAGGGGGCTCAGAGCTGGAGCCACGAAACTGACAAGGCTGGTAGGCTCCCTACTATGAAACTGAGCCAGGGACCAAGCTGACAGCTGCCCCCTCTCCCCGCAGCTGTCAGCCAGGTGCTGGGCTCATAGCTGGAGCCCTCATCCCCACCCCGGGGGTGACAGCCTCAGCTGTGAGCCCCGTGCTGGGCTCAATTTCACAGGAGGAGCCTACCAGCCTTTCTTGTCAATTTCACAGCTTCAGTTGTGAGCCCCTGGCTCTGAGACTGGCAGCAGCCCTGAAACTGACAAGAAAGGCTGGATGGCTCTATTCTATGAACCCCGCGTGGGGCTCAAGCCGATAGGTCTGCCAATGGGTACATCAACTCATCTAGATATTTGCCTAGTTTGACAACAGGCTACATAAACAGCACTAGCGAAGTCTGTGTATATGAAATGTAAGTTTGTACAATGTCTTGTTTATATTGCTCTATATACTACAATCAGCAGTTCTCAAACTTGGGTTGCAACCACAAAGTGGGTTGTGAGTTTATTTTAATGGGGGTGCCAGGGCCAGGGTTAGACTCGCTGAGGCCCAAGGCAGAAAGGCAAAGGCTGAGCGCCACCCCCTCGGGCTGAAGTTGAAGCCAAAGTCCGAGCCCCGCTGGATGGAGCTGGAGCTGAAGCCTGAGTAGTGTAGCTTTGCGGAGCCTACGGCAATTGCCCTGCTTGCAAACCCGTAAAGCTGTCCCTGAGTACAGAGAGAATACACTGACTTTAGGAACTATGTTTTGGCTTTCGGGTCAACATATCTTCGTAAAGTCTCATTTTCTACTAAGACTGCCATCAAGACAAAGAGTAGGAATAGACTCAATGTGGAGAAAAATTTAACTGCTGCTATGCTTCACTGATTCCCAGAATGACAAGGCTCACAAGTGAAAACAGGTTCAAGTATCACAGTGAAATTTAAGTACAATATTTACATTCCAATTGATTTATTTTATAATTATATGGTAAAAATGAGAAAGTACATTTTTCAGTAATAGTGTGCTGTGACACTATTTTTATGTTTGATTGTGTAAGCAAGTAGTTTTTAAGGGATGGTGGTGGTGAAACTTGGGGTATGCTAGGTAAATCAGACTCCTGAAAGGGGTACAGCAGTCTGGAGAGGTTGAGAATCACTGCCCTACCTCACCTAACAGGAAAGAAGCATTAACTCACGTAAAATGCTGGCTTCCTACGGAAGGTGTTACTTCCTGCCAACAAAGGCCCATTGAAACCAAATGAGCCACTGTGAAACATCAAAGAACAAAGACTTAATTGTTCTTCCCCACCCATGATGAGTAGATGCTTGAACTCTGGAGGAATGGAATAAAAATCCCTGACAAGAAGCAACTACCTCTATGCTGCTTTGACTTTGGGAGGGCAAGATTTCTAAGCACAAGCAAGGGATCCCCAGCTGCTTACCCTGGATTAACCCTAAAGCTTGCATATTACAGTAGCTTCTATCATCTTTTGAAACTGAAGACTAACTCATTTGTATGTTTATGTTTATCTGCTTTAACCTTGTAAATAACTCATTTCCTTTTCTTAGTTAATACATCTTTAGTTGAATTATAGGATTGGCTACAAGCATGGTCTAAAGTGCAATTGACCTGGGGTAAGTGATTGGTCCTTTGAGATTGGAAATAACCTGAATATTGTTGTGATTTTTGATATAAGGGGCCATCAACCACAAAGGCAAGTTTGCCTCAGTGGCAAGATAGACTGGAGCACCCAAGGAGACTGTCCCTGACTCCATGGTTATGCTGTTATAATACCTGAGGAATTTACACTTGATATTTGGTTAGAGAAATCGAAGTATAGAACTCATGCTTTTGAGTCGCTCCAGACAACTTGGCGACCACAGCTGATAAACAATCCAATTCCTGAGGAGGCCTCCCAGATAATCCATAGTACCTTATTTTAAATGAGGTAACACACAACTAAATCACTCAGCTGGAGACCATGGCTTTTGGGTCTGGGTGTTGTGAATAGGTGTTAAGGAATTATGCCCACCCCGTCCTTCCTATATATTGCTAAAGGGAAGAAGGGGCTCCAGGTTCCTGGTAAAAATCAAGCACCCCTGTTCCTTTCCTAACCTGTACACATGGTCAACTCTGATGGGCATTTTGAACCACAATCCAAACAGCCATTTCAGACTAGAGACATGAGCCCCTCTGCATAATGAGAATAGTGCTTACCTCCCTTATTACAAGGATTTGCTACAGTGTGTAAAATGCTCTGGAGATGTAGAGTTCTATATAAATGTAAAGTGATACTAATAAATGCAAAAGTTAATTGCAGGTTAGAAGTTTAAACAGAAGTCAGGAAATGAAAACATGATTAACTCGCTCACATTGAAGCCCTCACTTTTCATTGCCTGATCTGTATGCTTAAATTCATATTGCCACATTAAAGATTTTTACATTTAATTTCCTTTCAGAAAAAGGGACCTGCCTTTGCTTAATAATGTTAGCATTCAAACAGAAGGTCACACCTCCTTGATATGAAGAGGGATGCAGAGCAAATGTCCCTATTACTGTTATGTGTGCTCAGGTTTAGGTGCTATTAATCGCCTTTTGCTGGAGACAGGTTTTCTGCAAGGACTTGTCTACAGAAAGTTTCGTATTTGAACAAGATTTTGATTAATTGATTTGTGGTTGCCATCATGTCAGCTAACATGATTCTTCACAGTGGTGTTCAAACACTGCAATGTTGACAAGCCCCAAAACTGATTTGGCATACTGGGCTGACACGGTTTACTTTTGCAAAAGGAAGTGTGATAAAAAAAAAAATTAAAATTTTAACAATGCAGCAAAAATTGCTGAGAAACTTTTAAAAAGTCACAAGACGCTCAATTTTCACATTATCCCTGAAAAGGTTTTTTCAAAAAAAGTGTGTGTTGGTTATTTCAACAAAACATTTAATGCCGGATTTTTAAAAGTGCATAACGTTGGCCTATCACTGCTTCAACGGAAGTAAAGGGGGTTTTACCATTGATTTTCCTGGAAGTAAAATTAGGATAATGCTAAGCGCTTTTGAAAATTCACACTCAGCATTTGTTTTGTTCAAACTGTCCAAGAAAGCAGCTTGAGTACAGAAGCCTCTATGTCTGTCAGGTCAGGCAGTGAACTGAGCTTTATTATGCTTTGCTAAAAACTCATGTCTACTGAAACTGTTTAAAAAAGTTTGTTTTTTATGGGGATGCCTCCGAAGCATGTAGTACTAGCCACTGTTGAAGACAAGAAACTGACTAGATGAACTATTGGCCTGACCTGGTATGGCAAATATTTTGTACTTGTATTCATTTCTCATCTATTTTACCCCCAAATAAACATCCTCGAAGGACTAGCCACACATCAAGTATGGTGGGGTGTTACCTTTTCTAGGTGCAGAGATAGGCGACTTCAGTAGGTTTTTATGATAAATATTCACTATCACTTACTCTCCAACATCCCTTCCACCAGTACTTCACCTTATATTATTATTATTATTATTGTGTCCTATTAAAACTCCTGAAAAAGCCTGCAGGCACCTTATCTGTTGGACCCTGATGGCAGTTTTTTTGGACTCTTAATACTTAGGGTGACCATACACCCCGTTTTGATGAGGACAGGCCCTTTTTTTTAAGCCCTTTCCCGGCCATCCTGACTTTCTTGGCAAAAGTGGGCATTTGTCCCATTTGCTCTTGCCAACTGATCAAGTTGGCAAGAGCAAATGGGACAAATGCCCACTTTTGTGTAAAAAAAGTGGCATGTGGAGGAACATGCGGGGGGGGGGGGGG